AGACAGGTTTTACTGTACATATGACTATATGATATATGTGCATATGACTATATGATATATGTATATAAGACTATATGATATATGTACATAAGACTATATGATATATGTACACATGACTACATGATATATGTACATAAGACTATATGATATATGTACATATGACTCCATGATATATGTACATATGGTTCCATGATCTATGTACACATGACTATATGATATATGTACATATGACTCCATGATATATATACATATGGCTCCATGATATATGTTCATATGACTCCATGATATATGTACATATGACTCCATGATATATGTATATATGACTACATGATATATATATACGACTATATGATATATGCACATATGAGTACATGATATATGTGATAAATATTTACAATAACAGCCTGTTCTACCCATACAGATCAACAACATATGTCACAATGTCTAGTCATAAGAAATGCTTTATAGCATAGGGGTAGCATTTTACCATTATATGTTAAATCATTACATCAGTTTTTATCTATGTTCAGTAAATAACTTAATGAATTTCCTGGAATTTTGATGACAACATTATGTGGCACCTACTGGCTTATCAGTGCAAGATGATTACAATGCAGCACTTTTTAACCTCTTGAAGCTACCCAGAGTGACAAGATTTCTCGTCACCTAAGAAATGACCTTGAAACCTGGAGTGACAAGATAATCAATCACAAAATTTTTGCTAAAATTTCTCTTATTTGAACAATTTTCATCCCATTTACTCAGAAAATATTTTAACCTCTTGACTACCTGGAGGGACAAGATTTCTCATCACCTCAGAAATGACCTCTAAACCAAGAGTGACGAGAAAATCTGTCACAAAATTTTTCACTAAAATTGCTCTTATTTGAACAATTTACACAATTTTTTGGGAATGTGTAGAAATGATCTCTACCGTCTCATTTTACAGAGCATCTAAAGTTGTATAGCTATGTAGTAAAATGTCAAAAGGTGACAAAATGAAAAATTCTCTGGTTTCAACCAATTTTAGAGCCTGGGATTCAAGAGGTTAAAAAGTGTAGAAATGATCTCTGCCAACTGATTTCATTAACTTGAGCATCACCTGTTGTATATGAATGTAGTAAAATGTCAAAAGCTGGCAAAAATGAAAAATTCTCTGATTTTAGAGCCTGGGATTCAAGAGGTTAAAGTGCGATAAAAATTGATTCCAGTTATTGAACAGAAGATCCATCTTTACTCTTATAATAAATAATAAATCATCTTTTCATCCAATCAGAGAAGGTCACAATTAAAACTCGGCAATCGGAATTAATTTGAATATTATGACAACTATGCAAACCTTATTAGGTCAGATAATGTAACATTCACATAAAAGATGGCACTACAATCAATGCAGCTGTATTATCTGATTAGTTCACTATTGTGAAATTATAGTTAGATGAAGCAATTATAGCGAAAAAAGTGGCTTGTTCTTATTGGTTAAAAAGCATAATCAAATCTGTAGGGAATGACAAAATTGCAAGCTCCAGTTTATGTGAAATTAACCTAGCATTATATTCCTGGTGATGTCAAATATAATATCTCCCACAAGATCCATGATATTTTAGAAATTGGTGATGTTAGATTCAAAGTGCAAAAATGCAGGTAAAATGTTTTAACTCTCCCTAATGATAATTAATACATATGGTAACCATATTTATAGACACATATATATATATATTATTGTACAAATCTTTAGTTTTCCTAAAACAAAGTACATGTATATATATACACTTTGGGTATTTTTAGAAAATATTCTAAAATTGAAACAAATTTTTCCGATTCTCCCTTTCAGCAACTTCAAGGACCTGTCTCTCCAGTTGCAGGTTTGATACTGATTAATTGCATTAATGTGATTGATGAAATATTTCTACACCGGTAATTCTTACATAATCATATTGATTATTTGTACCATAAAAAATTAAAAATAATCCTTCAATTATCGACCGCAGTCATTACGAGTATACTCTGAAAGACAGTGAAAAATCCTTTTTATAGCATATCTATCAATATGAAAAATAATTTTGATGGAGTATGACTGGAAAGTGGATATAAAATTTTCAGATGTAATTTTCCCATAAAGTGGAAGATATCATTTCCCATAAAATGGGAAAAGGTCATCATGGTTTCTACGGCCATTCTTAAGAAGAGAGACATCAATATTAAAATTACATTTTTCTGGGAGCTAAAATTGCAACTTTTATTTGAACTCACATTGAGCTAATTTTACTGATCATATTGAATATTGAGTGAAGCTTAATTGTATTATACATGTATGAATTCACTCTACTATACCTTACATTTGGTGTTCATGAGCAACCCATTTGGCTTATTAGTAATAATTATGTTATTTGTTTTTATTTATCTGTTCCTTATGAATGGTTTATCGGAAGACTGTTAGATGTAAATAAGGTACTTTCAAAAATATACTTAACAATACAATTAGGCAAACAGAGTATCTTATGCATTTCTAGGGGTTAGGTATAGTAGAGTGGAATTATGCTTATCCAAAATGCAATTAAGGTAAAGCTGGAAAATAACATTTTGCTAAAAATTGCTATATCTGCACATGTTATTTTCTAGTACAAAATAAAGTATTTATTGAGCCTTAATCCTAATTTGTCTTTTACTATTTGACCTACTTAAGCGACATGACCCATTTTCACAAAAATTTCTAGATATTTTTTTTCACAAAAACTTCCAGATATGATGAAAACCAACAAAAAATACCATGCATGAGTCATTTTGTGAGAAATGGTGACATATTGTTAGAGCCTCCAACTTTTTGGAGATGGTGTTTGGCGGTTGTTGTTTGGTGTCTGTAACAATATCTGTAACAAATGGTGGTCAGAATCTGCAACAAATGACAGTTGGTGACATTTTGCATGTTTATGCCTTGTTATATAAATGGCACTAGATTATGTTACATCAAATTGTGTTCATGAGGAATATATGTTTTTCAGTGAGATAGGTTTTTCTATAGACAATATATCACATCCTCCGATCACAGGGCTTCAAAATCCAGAATATATTCTTTCTTTTTACCCCCTGCAATAAGCAGTTACCATTTCTCTGATTAAGAACTCGCAATCTGATTGGCTGTCACACCACTGCGACAGAAATCATGTATAAGTCATTGCGCATAATTAGATCACGTGATTCAGTTAAATCTGGCGCTTCCAAATTGGTTATAGCAGGGGGAGGAAGGAGGTACAGATTCTGGACACCTGCTTAGGAGGATGATATATCATGACCAATATCTCAATAAAAAAGCAAATAAAAAAAGTCAATAATTTAAGTACTATTAATATTACGATGCACAAATGTTTCCTGCGGATGTTTCCATCATAATGTTAATCATAAAAATGATTATTAAAAATTTGATTCATGAGTTTGTGTGATTGATAGTAAGTTTCGAAAAAATTGTTTTATTTTTACAATTTCTCTCTCAACATTCCATGTCATGCTTCATTTAATATTTTGTAAAATCTCCAACTTTTGAATTTATACCAGAATAATCCGCAAACATCAGCATGCTTTTTGAGTGCTTCCAGCTTTCAACACCCTCTCCCTTCTAATGCCTTTAAAGAAGGAAAAGATTCAGTTTTTTTGTTTGTCATTTTTTGCCATGAAAATCATCTTGGAGTATTTTTGGTTTAAATTGTGGCTTCTCCATCCGCAAATACACTCCAAATGCAACCTAACTTCAAAACTTTTTTGTACCCCCCCCCCCCCCCCCCCCCGAATGGTTGTTTTTAATGTCGTTCAACTAGAATAACCCAGATGCGAGTAGAAATGATCTTGATTTACATCATTAAAAATTCACAATTCAGTCAAACTGATGTCATATTTGGAATCTACATGTAAAATAACATTTAGAAATGTGGTTTTGAAAAGAGTTTATCAACTTTGAAAATTTAATTTTCTTTGAAAATGTGACTTCTAGGTCGGGGAGATTCCCCATAGTACCCATGTTGTAAAACCACAAAAAGTGAAATATCTTTTCTTGTGTTGGCCAGATAATATTTTCTTTTACTTGAAATATTTTAATGTGTATAACTATCAGATACATAAAGGTAATATGAAAAGTGAACCACTAAAACTGATGCATATTCAAGTTTAAGGAAATTTTGTAATACCCTGCCATGTTAATTCCCCCGAATCAGCCACCTGGTGGCGAAACTGGTAACTACCTACTCGCATCTGAGTAATTCCTGTAATGGCGTACTACTCATAAAGATAGTGCTACGCCAATGTATATGGATGTTTAGGATCAAATGAAAGTACGGAGAAGGATCATCAGCATATAGATGTATCCTGTATTGAGCATCAACTAGTTTACATATATTAACATCTTCCTGTAGATTGTATTTTAATTCCTATTATAACTTTCGAATTCTGAAAAGCTTTTAGTGTCAAAGGAAAAGTGCATAGAAATATAGTCAGCGTATATCATGCATTGACCATCAACTAGTTTAATCTCAAACAGAAAAGACCAGGAACATCTTCCTGTACTTTTACTTCTACCATTGTTATATCAAATGTAACAATTATAATATACAAAATATGTTAAGCACTAACAAAGTTATTCTGTCGATAATATGTTTTGCTGCTTAGGGGTCTCCCTTGCTTTTAATCACAATATGAGGGGTGATCAATAAACAATGGAGCTTTTTACACAGACATTTTTACCTGTATTACCTTCATTAAAATTAAGAGTTGCAAGACATCTTGCTTATGTTGTCTTCAACTTGTCAGGACAAATAGATAATTCAATGATGCATCATTGGGGAAAAAATCATTGAGATTTTTCAATAAGAAGCATCTGAGGAAAAATCCTGGGGAGAATACTGTAATCAGTCAACAATCAACAAGTTTAAAAGGAAATGTGATTTTGTAGTACTTACCATTTAGTTCAATCTCCTCCTCACTTGTAGCAAGGTCTTTATCCATGAAATCTTCTTCATCTTCAGTGAAATCCATCACACCCTCATCCACATCTTCATTGTCACTGTTGACTGTCACAATTTTCGAGATTTCAGTCTCATTACGGACAATGTTATCCAACAGTCCCTCCTCCTCTCCTTCACTAGTATTTGCCTCCTTAGCATTAGATTTTACAGTAGTAGTGGTGTCTGTAGAGGTTACGTTGCTACAGGACACAGTCGGCATATAACATGGTCTTCGGCCACCTGAGGAGAAAGATGAATATTACCATCATCATTGTCATCGTTATCATATTTCTTTTTCTTATTATTTGTGGTATTTCAAGAACTGTAGTTTCTGTTGTGAATATTTTCAGATATTGCATATGCAATGCTTGAAACATGACAAAATGTCACCACTTGCAAATGGTTATTGGAATTTGTAAGAAACTGCTCTGTAAATTGGATCTTTTTGAGGAATTTTGAGAACTCTTGATGAGGTACACCAGTTGTTTATGTAGTTCGTTTTGTAAATAGAGTCTTACAGATTCTATAAATGATTCTGAACCTTCCCTTTATTCAGAGAATTTCTTGAGAAGATATATTATACATGTCTTCCTCAGGATATTACACTACATCCTACATAACTATTAACCTTTTTATTGTTAGTATTTCTAAAAAAAGAAAAGCCACAAGGACAATACCTGTTCTAATTTTCTTCATCAGACCCTCTCTGATAATAGGACCTTCCAAGTTGTCTTCATCAGAAAAATCATAAACTGCTTCATTCATGACTTCCATAAGTTTGGTTGATTGTAATCCTGCTTTGGTCTCAATACCTATTTGATCATCATCGTTTACTTTTGTTTCTCTTTCAGTTAGTTGCTCTTCTCTGTTCCCAATTTGTGTTTGCTGCAATGTTTTGTTTTTAATATCATTAGCATTTTGGGTGTTAGTACGATCACTGTCTTTATGATGAGAATGTTTCTGTTGAGAGTTAATCCCATGTTTTTTATTTGTTTGATTTAACTGAATATTGTTCCTTTTTGGTCGACCATTGTTATTTCTCATCATCTGATCTCGTAGAGAAGGGACTTCATTAGCCATAGCATGTTCAGATGGCTCTCCATTATCACTGAGCGTTCTGTGGTGTATATGTTCACGTTTCTCAACAGCAATATCTGGTATTTTATTTCTTTGGTTCAAGTTGAAATCTTCTTGATTAAGACGAACTACCATTACTCTCATTTGCCTTGTGGCTCTTATTTTTCCATATTTCCCTGCATTGCTTCTTCTCTTAACTTTGTATTGAGTTTTTTGCTTTTTGGACTTTGACAGCTCATTCTTATCTCCATTCTTCGAGAATTTCTGTCTTAACTTTTGTTTTGCAAAGGTGATCTTTTCCTCGTATATATAATCCAGTTTGTTATAATGAACCCAATAGGGAAGACTTGGTTTATTCCTTGGCCTCAAATTGAATCGCTTGGGACTTCCCCTAACTGGTGACTTTTTTCTCTTAGTGTATTTCCTCTTTTTCCGAAGCTGTTTCACCTCATTTTGTTGAACACTTGGTTCTTCTAAGCTGATATAATCAGGTTTCATTAGACCAGTCTCTGGACATAGCACAAGGGTATCACTTTGTAAACTCCCAACATCTTGAATTGAGATATGTGTTGGTTGTAAATCACTATCACCATCATTGATTGTTGCATTGTCTGTTTTATTTACATATTGTGATTTAGTATCTTTGGTTCCATGTGTACATGCACCTTTAATAGATGGACTTTCACAGACTGAGTTCCTGACATTTGACACCTTTGTTCTATCATCTGTTTTGACTGCTACATTAACTATTTTTGGCGAATCTGCATTTTCATTGGTTTGCTTGGGATCAAGTAGATTTACGATTTCACCTTGAGGTTCACTTGCTGTTTTAGCATTCACTGCCGAACATGTTTCCTTAACACCACTTATTTCAGCATTACTGCAAATAGCATGAGTAACATCAACTGCTTTATTCAATTTTTTCTCTGCGGAACCAACAACATTTTGATCATTTGAGAATATTTGATTAACACAGTCATCGATAAGGTGTCTGGTAAATACAGGTTTGCCTCCCAGATTAACTGCATTTTCTATCGTGCATTTCGAGTGTTGACCATAAAAACTTCTATTGATAGAATCATCATCTACTAGAGATTTTTTGTTAAACCCGGGTTTATGTTCTGCAGTAACTTTATTTTCATGTGTCTTGTTATTTTCCCCTCTCATCATTTCATTCAGCTTACTGTCGATGAATGCTTGGACTGTTTGCACAGGTTGAATTGATTCAGCTCTTCTTTCATTAACATTTGCATGTGGTGTATGAGCCTTGACTTTTGCACCCCATTGCTTTTTAAAGTGAACATGATGATGCTTGGGTGTTTCAGGTTTTTCCTTTCTAGATAAAGTGGTAGAATTTGTAAGAGGCCTGGGATTGGGATTGATTTGGGTTGTAGAGTGTGAACCTGTGGAATTGACTTGGTGTATAGAGCTGGTATGGTACAAACTATTTTCATGGGAAGTAGTTATGGCCCTAGGAGTAGTATTGCTGGTTGAATTTGCCTGGAGTTTAGAATTTGAATCAGTTGTGAGATTTGTAATAGCTGTGTAAGTGGTGTGGTTAAGGGGCTTGGTATATGTTGTGTAAGTTGTTTTGGGTATAAAACTGGATTTTGTGATATTTGTAATAAGCCTTGCTTGATCTGGGTGATTAACACTGTTTGTGAAATTCCTCTTTGTAATATTCCTTGCTTGATCTGGTGGATTAACAATGGTTGTGAGATTTGTATTTGTAACATGGCTCACCTGATTTTGGGGACTTGCATGAACTGGTTGATTAACATTGGTTTTGAGATTTGTAAGATCTATAGGAATTGTGTGATTAGTAGTATAATTGAGATTTGCCTGACCATGACTCATCGATTTTACATGGGTTGTGAGACCTCTGATTTTTACATTGGTTGTAAGATTTGTATCTGTTATAGGATTTGTATATGTGTTGGTATGGGTAACATGATTTGTATATGCACTAGCATGGGGAATGGGCTTTGTATGAGCCTTGACATGAGCTATGGGAACTGAATTAGTGTTGGCACGGGGTATTTGATTTGTATGTACATCGAATATGGGAAATGAATGAACATTTGTATGACCTACTTGATTTTTATGAGCATTAACATGAGGGATGGGTTTTGAATGAGTGTTGGTATGAATGACAGAATTTCTATTGTTTGTGAAATGTCCTCGAATTGTGGGGCAAATTTGGGAAACAGAATTCTGTTGAGCAACAAGGTTGGCACTGCTTGATAAACATGCATCAGTTGCATAATTGCTGACAAAGGCTATAGACTTGTTTTGTTCTGTAACACTGGTATATCCCGTTTGATGAACATTACCACTTCCACTAATCAAGTTAGAGACACTGCCACGATTTGAAAAGTCATGGTGTGGAGTTGGCCTTTTTGGTCTCATTGAACTTGTGTTTAGCACACTAGCAGAGATTCTAGGCGCATCTAATGTTGTATTGGGTTCCTCATCAGATGACAATGCATATGTTTCATAAAATGGGACATCATATTTGAACGGTATTTTTGGTGTTATACTTTTAGAATCACTGATCAATATTTCCTTTAATGACATATCTGAGTTGGGAAAATTTACATGGTGATTATTTGCTTTTGGTATGATATATTCAACATGGCTCTTTGGGACATCTCCCTCTATCGACTTCTTGGAGTTGGGGGTACTTATTTTGTCAATATGTACCTTTGATGAAATCTGTTCAGTTAGGCTGTTTGGGGGCTCCTCATTTAGAGACTTATTAGAGTTTGGATCATGTTCCTGGAGATTATGGACTTCATGTGTTATACACTCACTGTAGGTGCTGTTAATTTCACCTTGAGGCTTATTTGAGGTTGGGGCGTTTATTAGGTCACTTTGTACCTTTTCTGTAACATCTGTTACACTTTGGTTGTTCAACATTCTCTCCTCTCCTGATATATTTGGATTTAGTACCATTATTGGGTCATTATGTTCACGATGCTTACTTCTGCTGCTGATGTGGTCACTGATTATTTCATTCTCTACTAACTTACTGGACATTGGGACATTTACTTTGTCCTTAAAAGGACTTGCACTAGCTTTTATAAATTCATCATCTTCAGTATCATCATCTAGTGCACCTAAAGTGGAAGCCATTGAAACAATGTGTTCTGAGTCAGTTATAGCAGGTACTAATTCAGAAGTTGGTAGCTGCTCTTTGACAAACATTTCACATTCATGTTCAATGCCTGGATGGATATCCTCTTTTACAACACCTTTGTCAGATGTTTCACGATCAATGATCAAAGGAGTTTCTCTAACAGGTGACTTACTTTCAATTGTTGAAGAAACATTATCACAAAATGATGTTTCATTTTCCCTGGAAGAAGGAACACTTTGTGTGACTGTTATCTCACTTTCATTAGTTGATGGACCAATATCTTTGTGTGATATTTCAGTACCCAATGTTGAAGAGGTACTTCTCTTATCAGATCTTTCATCTCTATCAACTAAAGGAGAAATGGCTCTGCCGGGTATTTTAGGACAAATAGAAGAAGGAACAATCTCTTTGACATGATTATGGATTGGAGAAACCATCTCTATATCTGATATTCTAAGGTCATTTGATGAGGCATGAATATCACTGACTGATATTTCTGGCCCAATAGATGAAGAAGCATGGCTGGACTTTTCACTAGCAAAGGTGGAGGGATCAACACCTATGTTAGATATTTCAGGACTTAAAGTTGAAGACTCGCTCTTCTTGTCAGACTCATCATCTTTATAAGCTGAAGTGGAAATGACTTTGTCAAGTATTTCATTTTCAATGGCAGACTCAACAGTATCTAAGGCATTGCAAGATGTTTCATGTTTGTAGGTACTGACTGCATCACTTGATAACCTGGAAGTAGGTTTATCAGTCTCTCTGTTATCTTCAAGATTACATGTTGAACTAACCACTTCATTCACATTAGTCTCATCAAAACCATCACTTGTAGCATCATTAGCATTTTCCTTTGCTTCAGATTCGAGGTTCTGACTACTTATGGAATTAATGTCATCAAATTTAAGTTGTGACAATACTAATGATTCACATGGCTTACTGGCACTGACTTTGCTGCTATCTGGAACATTTGATGGCTCTACAACTTCACATAGATTTGTACTCTCATTATCAAACAATGGTTTATCCAATGAGACTTTGGACTTTGGGTCAATAACAGTGTCAGTATCTCCTTGGTTTATACTTTCAGTAAGCTCTGTTTCATGTTTTTCTTTAGGGACAATGTCTACTGATACAATTTGATCAATTTTGTCGCTGCTCACTCCTTTTGAATCATCAAAACATATTTCTTTGGATCCAACATGATTTCCTCGGTCAAGTGTGCTATATTTCGTATACTTCTTTATCTCAGATTTTGATAATTTTGGAAGCACTACTTTTAGAATTGGCTGTTTGTTAGTATGATCAAAATTAATTAATAAATATGAACCTTCTTCACTTATTGGAACTTTGGAGTCAATATTATCAGACATTGAGTCCATATCAACAGATTTTAAGTCCATACCATTAGGTGTTGAGTCTATATCATCAGATTGTGAGTCCAAGTCACTTGCCTTTGAGTCCATATCATTGGGATTTGAGTCCATATCAACTGACTTTGAGTTCACATCATCAGGTTTTGAGTTCATATCATTGGACTTTGATCCAATATCACTGGACTTTGAGTTCAAATCAACAGACTTTAAGTTCATTTCATCAGACTTTGAGTATATATCATTAGGGCTTGAGTCTATATCATTAGATTTTGGCTCTATATCATTGAATTTTGAGTCAATATCACCATGATTAGAGTCCATATCATCAACCTTTGAGTCCATATCAATAGGCATTGAGTCCACATCATCAGGCTTTGCATCTATTTCAACAGAATTGAAGTCCACGTCAGGCTTTGAGTCCATATGATTGGACTTTGGCTCCATATCATTGGGTTTTGGGTCGAAATCACCAGGCTTTAAGTCCATATCATTAATTTTTGAGTCTGTATCAACAAAATTTGAGTCTACATCAGGTTTTGATTCTATTTCACCAGGCTTTGAGTCAATATCAATATATTTGGAGTCTATATCATCAGACATGGAGTCTTTAGCAACAGACTTTGAGTTTATTTCACCAGGCTTTGAGTTCATATCATCAGGGTTTGAGTCCATATCATTAAGTTTCGAGTCTATATCAACAAATCTCGAGTCCATATCATTGAAATGAGAAATAGTATCATTAGGCTTTGAAACTGAATCATCAGACTTTAAGTCCATTTCATTAGGCTTTGAATCAATTTCATTGTACTTTGGCTCCATATACTTGGGGTTTGAGTCCATATCACCAAGATTTGAGCCTATATTATTAAGCTTTGAGTCTATATCAACAGAATTTGAGTTTACCTCAGGCTTTAAGTCCATTTCATCTGCCTTTGAGTCTATTTCATTGGACTTTGGGTCCATATCCTTGGAGTTTGAGTCCATATCACCAGATGTTGAGTCCATACCATTAAGCTTTGAGTCCATATCAACAGAATTTGAGTTAACCTCAGGCTTTAAGTCCATTTCATCTGCATGTGAGTCTATTTTATTAGACTTTGGCTCCATATCCTTGGGTTTTGAGTCCGTATCATTAAGCTTTGAGTCCATATTAACATAATTTGAGTCTACATCATTGGTCTTTGACTCCAAATTCTCAGTTTTTGGGTCAATATCATTCGGGTTTAAGTGCAGATTACCAGGTTTTAGTTCAATACCTCCAGGCTCTGAGTCAACATAAGCAGTTGATGATGGTGAATATGGATCATCAGACTTTAAATTCATATTACAAGGCTTTGCTCCCATAACAACAGTCTTTATATTCATATCACCAGGCTTTATTTCCATAACATCTGTCTTTGTGTCAATACCACCAGACTTTGTTTCTATAACATATGGTGTTGTATACATATCATCAGATTTTGCCCCCATAACATCAGTCTTTGAGTTCATATCACCAGGCTTGGAGTTTATATCACAAGGTCTTGATTCCATATCATTGGTCTCTGAATTTACACCACAAGGTCTTGATTCCATATCACCAAGCTCTGTATCTGTGTTCATATGAGGCCTTGAGTCCCTATGAGTACTATCAGCTGTTGAGCTCATCTTTTCAGATATTAGATTCATATCATCTAGTTCTGAGTCTTTATCACCTGGATATGGGTTCATACCAAAGGTTTGATCAGACATTGAGTCTTTATTCTCTAGCTTAGAATCATTTTCCTCTGGTTTTAATCCTGATTTTGGATCTATATCATTGGGTTCTAATCCTAATTTTGGATCTATATCATTAGATTCCAATCCTAATTTTGGATCTTTGACTTTATGTTCCAATCCGAATTTTGGAGCTATACCTTTAGGTTCCAATCCTGACTTTAAATCTCTATCATTAGGTATTAATCCAAACAGCTCAGCAAGGATATGTAACATCATCTTTTTCCTCACAGAAGAATCCGCACTTTGGATTTCTAGGATGGATTCTAGCTCAACCAGGATTGCATCTACCTCATCCTTCAAGATGACGTCGTTCCAATGATTGGAGTAGGTCTGGTTCGCCATGGCAACTGAGGAGGGGGTCACCTGAGTGCTGTTTAATCCACATAGAGCTGGGCTTTCATTAAGGTATAAATCATATGCTGCTTTCCGGTTGCACAAATCTGTGATGTGATTTTCAAACTCATCTTCAAGTTCAGCAAGACTATCTTCTATTTCTGATTCAACGCCGTTGGCATTAAATATTCCTTCATCATTGATATCAGCATCATTATTAACAATTTCACTGTTATTAATTTCATTAATGACAACTTTATTGTAATCATTTTTATTGATGTCATTTTCTTCATTAGCATCACCTGGAGCACCTTTACTGAATGAACAATCTTCACTATTCTTCTTGAGATCACAACTTGGTTGAGGGCTTAAAGAGAATACATTTCCTTCTCTAGGTGGACAATTAAGAGGAAGAGCTCTATCTTGCTTGAGATCATCAGCTATATGCTTAGTTGCACAAAGGCATCTTTTTGAATTGCTTGTGGTTGAGGACTTTTCTAAAGGGTTATTTTTGGACTTTCCCTGTGATCTTTTAGGGTGTTTCTCTTGGGATATGTTTCTGAGCTTCTCAATGTTATTCTTGAGCCGATTGAAAGTAGCTTGTGATATACTGCTAGCATTGTCATTTTCTTCTGATCCATCTTTGAGAGTATCTATTTCTGCATCATTCAGTTTTTCACAGAGGTTATTTCCCTTTGGTGTATCTTTGAGATTATCATTTTCTTCATCCATGAGTTGTATTTCAGAGATGTCAATTCCTTGTGATGTATCTTTGATAGTATCTTTTTCTGGTTCCTTAAAAATTTTGGAGGTGTCATTTGCTTTTAAGAGAAGTGACGCAAATATATTTCTTTCTGAATGCTTCTCTGCTGAATTACTGTTGCTTTTTTCATCATCTGTGGTAGATAGATTTATTGAAAATATATTTCTTTCATGTTTTACTTTCGTATCCTGGTGACATGGTGTCTGGGAGTTTATATCTAGAGTTTTAGACATAGAAGTATCTCCTTTGCCTTTTTCATTCGTGTAAGTTCCATCAGCAGAAGCTAGTTGGTTTGTTTGGTAGATCACTAATTTATCATGAACCGGTTCATTCTGTGATGGTTTTCGTCGGCGACCTGATTTCTTTGCTGATATTAATGAATGGAAAAGTTTCTTCAGTTTCTTCATCCTATCTAGTTTATCATTACCTATTAGGCTTACACCTATTGGGGTTGTCCTTGGTGATGATTGCTTCTCTTTGTTCATGCGATCAGAATTACTAAGGGCAAATTCTTCATCTATTTTGGCCTGTTTGTTTGTATGTTCACTCAGGTCAATATCATTTTCTGACGTCTTTAATAGTTCATCTTTGTTTTGAGCATTTGGTGTATCTATCGTGCAAGTGTGCGCTGTCAGAGCATCAGTGTTCATATGTGCACCCATTTTTGGAGAACTTGCTATAAATGCTTTTGTACTTGGATAATTTGTTTTAATTGCACCCTTTGTTGAAGCAGCCATTGATATTTGATCTACCCTTGAACAGGATCTTTCTGTAAATGTGTTTTGTTTTGTAGCAATTGTGTGTACATCCATGTTTGTAGCAGATGTTTCTAATGCATTCATGTTTGCAGCAGTTACTGTGGGTGCATTATCTTTTATGCTTGCTGCAACATTATCACTAGACATTAGTCCAACATTACTGTCATTAATTTGGAAATTTTTATTCATGAACTTGTATTGGAGTTTGGTAAGTTTTGTAAGTGCAGGGTACAAATTAGAATGACTTGGTGCATTCATATTTTGTTTAAATGTTCCATCACCCTTAATGTTTTCATTTGGCTCTTTTGTTCGACTATACTCATCCAGACATTCCCCCTCATTATGTTCCTCATTATTTGAGTCACTTGTATCTTCCATGTAATCATTAGATTTCTTAAGGATTGTCATGGTTGCTCTTTTCTTATTCTTGATGCGATCATATATTGTATCATTGAGGCATCTTTTTTCAGATATCTGCTGATCGCGTATGGTTCCAACACTGTGTCTTCTTTGTTTTGATACCTTCTGAGGATAAACAACTTCAACGCTTTGTCTTCTCCTTTCAAATACCTTCTGATTTGTTTGATTGTCATATCTTTTCCTTTCAACTATCTTCTGATTAGATGTTTGATCGATATATCTCTTCTCTGATGCTGAATCATTGTTGTGTCTCTTTCCCTCAGATATTGCTTCATCAATGTGTCCTTTCCCTTCAGATATATTTTGATAAGATATTGTCCCAGCAATGTGTCTCCTCCCATCAGATGTTGTCTCATCAATGTGTCTCTTCCCTTTCGGTATTGTCTCATCAATGTGTCTCTTCCCTTCAGTTATATGTTGATAAGATATTGTCCCATCAATGTGTCTCTTCCCCTCAGATATTTTCTCATTAAATTGTCTCTTTTCAGATATTGTCCCATCTATATGTCTCTTCCCTTCAGAGTATTTCTCAGCAATGTGTCTCTTCTCATCTGATATTGCTTCATCAATGTGTCTCTTTTTCCCAGATATACTTTGATCAGTTACTGTCACATCAATGTCTCCCCTCTCAGAAATATTAAAAACAGATCCTGTCTCAAGACTGCTCCCTTCTGACACTCGACCTTGATCTAAGTTTTCTATTGCCTTGGTGTTAATTAGAGTTTTAGATTTAGTTTTCTTCATGCTAGGTTTTTCCATAACTACACATAAATTCTCCGACATACTGACAACATCAGTCGGTTGTTTTTCTAATTTCTGCTCTTCTAAGTGTACTATAGTTTTTGCGATGACATTTCCAGCGGGTAAGATTCCATCAGCATCCCCTTTAACATCCTTTATAATACCTTTATCACATTGTGTATAAACAGTTCCTCTATTTGTGTTATCACTGACTCTAGTCTTCTCTGCACCATGGGATTTTTCCTCCTTTACTCCACTCCCTTGGATATGTGAGGTCATACTGCCATCATTAATTTTATATATATCACATGAACTATTCAATATTGAATTTTCATTGAGTAATACATCAGTAATACATTTATTTGAAATACCTGTACTCTTGTGCTTATCTGCTTGCATTGTTGTATTAATAGTCACACTGGTACATGACAACTCTGAGTCAGTCTCATTGCTCCTTTGATTAACGGTGTGACGCTCAAGGCAGTTAAGCATGCTACTAGATTGAGTATTCTGATCACGATGATTTATATTTGTTCCTTTTGAGACATGTCTTTGGTGAACAGATATGTTTTCATGGCGATGTAATCCATTCGATACTGGTTGTAATTTGAGTGTAGATCTTTGTCGGCTCGTCTGTTCCACCTAGAAGCACAATATTTCTATTTAATTTATATGACACTTATATGATTGATTAATTAAAGAATCATGGTGCATAAACGACCTGTTTTTGATAAATGTTATTGCCTCAAAGCTACACCGCTATACTACCTTTCATATATATATGTATATTACACTGAAAGCAAATAAAATCAGTTTGCACATTTGAAGCCAAGCGTATATTACGCTTAAAGCAAACACAATCAGCAGTATATTAAAGGGACAGTGAAGACAAAATATTGTTTTTCAAAAAGCTGATCAAATATGGAAGTATAACTAATTCTATGATACCAAAATGTCAAAATAGAACCCTGGGTACTTGGCTCACATTGTGTGAATTTTCAATTAAAGTTGGCTCATATTGTGTGGATTTCAATTAAATTTGGCTCACATTGTGTGAATTTTCAATTAAAGTTGGCTCATATTGTGTGGATTTTCAATTAAAGTTGGCTCACATTGTGTGGATTTTCAATTAAAGTTGTCTCACATTGTGTGAATTTTCAATTAAAGTTGGCTCCCATCGTGTGATTTGTCAATTAAAGTTGGCTCACATTGTGTGAATTTTCAATTAAACTTGGCTCACATTATGTGAATTTTCAATTAAAGTTGGCTCACATTGTGTGAATTTTCAATTAAAGTTGGCCACTGTGTGAATTTTCAATTAAAGTTGGCTCACAATGTGTGAATTTTCAATTAAAGTTGGCTCATATTGTGTGGATTTTCAATTAAAGTTGGCTCACATTGTGTGGATTTTCAATTAAAGTTGGCTTACATTTTTGTGTGGATTTTCAATTTAAGTTGGCTCACATTGTGTGAATTTTCAATTAAAGTTGGCCACTCTGTGAATGTTCAATTAAAGTTGGCTCACATTGTGCGAATTGTCAATTAAAGTTGGCTCACATTGTGTGGATTTTCAATTAAAGTTGCCTCACATTGTGTGGATTTTCAATTAAAGTTGGCTCACATTGTGTGAATTTTCAATTAAAGTTGGCTCACATTGTGTGAATTTTCAATTAAAGTTGGCTCACATTGTGTGAATTTTCAATTAAAGTTGGCTCACATTGTGTGAATTTTCAATTAAAGTTTAAGTCGGCACATATTTTGTGAATTTTCAATTAAAGCTTTCAACTTTTTCAAGATTTATGAAACAAAATATTTGACAAATAAAGTGGTGGCTATTTTGATATTTGGCAGATATTTTCAAAAACTTCAAGACAGTATTCCTTACTTATAAACTAAACTTTATTCACACCCTGCAATCAGAAAAAAATGGAGGGGTCAGCAGCCGATTTCTGCTGGTAAATCGCTAAATAATTGCTAAATGAATAAGTGCACTGTATGGTGAAATGAAATGATTTTTTAACTACCACACTATGGTGTGAGATCTATTTAATAAAAAGGTGCAACGTTACCATCATTCAAAGTCGATCCTTTTTCTATAAATCAAGCATATGGAGGTCTATGTGACCTGTTTTAAATATAACATTATCATTACAAAGTGCATGTTGTTGTTGTTTTTTAGTATAAATTACTTGCAAAACATTGTGTTTTTTACAGAGAACAGAGGGTGGGGTAATTCTAGATAGCTTATCCCCCCCCACCCCCCTTTGTTTACTATAATTTTTTTTTTAATTTTTAATAACATTTTCTTACTCATTTCTAAAAGCTGATATTTATGTTGTGATGTTAACTTCATTTCGAGGGTCTCACCTTTACATATTGCATTTATTTTCATGTCATGGAGACTTCCACTCGTTGATTTATGAAAGAAAGATTCATCTTTACATGCTGGTAGTGATGCACCTTTTAAAATAGATCCCACACCACTCCTTTTACAAGATATTTTGCCAAAACTTGTAGTCAATATTTATCCTTCTTTAAGCCCCAGTCACTTTTTCTCTACGACTGCCATATAGCGGCCATAGGTTCACAAACTCGATGTAGAAAATTTACATCGAAGGGCTTTAATGCTGCATAATTCTCCTGACAACCACCATAAAATTGCCATAGATCAAATGTGACTGAGGCTTTACTTTTGAAACAATCATGAAACGAAATAAATGTCCTTAAAATTTCATTTTACATGTTATTCTATAAGTTCTGCCACTGTCTAGGTATCAAAACCGAGTGGTCAATTTGCCGAAAGGTCAAATTTTATCCTTTTCCTAATTTGAATTTTCCTAATGATAATAAATTTCCCATTGGTATACATTATGAAGATAATATTTCTGACATTTCATTTTCCGAACCTGGCAAAAATTAGGCAATTGGCAAATTAAATGATTAGGCAAAATAACCTCTTATACAGTATCTTTTTGTTTCTTCCTTAGTTATATATAATTTTCCCACATACATAAATCAATCAGATCAATAATTTTGTAAAGTCTGTATCTCTACTATAATATTAATAAATCTTAATCCTGAAAAATGTTTTGGATGAGATAGACCAATAGAATATCATGAAAAGAAAAAATGAACTTAATAAAATACCCCTACCTTAACATACCAAATCTCGGCTTTAAAAGTCAATTACTAAAAAATTAACGCTCTAAAAATCTTGATTTAATGAATATAAAAAACGATTTAATTATAAAGTATTGATAGAGTAGTTTAATAGGTTTACAATCAAGTGCAAAAAAATATTGTAGTAAAACATTCTTTTTTACACAAATTTGTTTTTTATAGATAGCCTTGACCAGATTTTTTATAAAATAAATCATTAAAGTTACATATCAAACCTAGATATAGTTGGTGGGTATCATGAACCTTCTGCATGCTAACTTAATTCAGCAAATATATCCCACGCGACTGACTTATTTTTCAAAGAGTGCAAAAAATGATATGCCTGGACTAAATAATTAATATCTCAATAACTACAGAATGAATCTGGATAAGATTTTCACAAAGAGAAGATACATTGGCCTGGCTCATGAAAAAAATGTTCTCATGAATTTTTAACATAAATAAACAGGACTGGGCATAAATATACCATGAATACTCCTCCGGAATCCGCCGTTTCGCCCCTGTGGAGATTCAACGTCTGGTCAGAATCCAAAACTGAATTTGCAGCGATTGAATGTTCATTTTTCAGTTCAGAAAATATTCTAGTTTCTATTTTCGATGACCATTACCGGCTTCCAAGAGCCTAAAGGGCTCGAAATCGCGATCCATTTCCTCCACATGTTCGTTGTGATCGTATTTGGCCACCATTTTGTATGATTTGTTCACTAAAAACGACTTAAACACTGTTTAAATCGTTGAATTGAGAAATATTTTTCGAAAAATCGCCATTTCTAGGTCAACAGGAAGTCCCCACGTAAGGACTAAATAAATCGGGCAATCTGATTGGATCATAAGACCGGCGGGAAAAAGTTAAGTTTTTGAAAGTTTAAATTCGACTGGAGTCGCCAGCAGTTGCCGGGGATTGTTAAGCACGGGCGACTACGCTCCCCGGTAGCATGCTAAAGGTTAATGACCTGTCCAATCATCAAAGTATGGATTTTTATACCCTGAATGACAACAATACAAAGTTTTTCTAAGCAAAATATTTTTCTTATATTCAACCGAATTTTCGTTAAAACTCCCAATTTGTCAATGAGAGACCACGATTTTGTATTAAAAACTCCTTACTTATTGAATCATATTTTGTTACCCTGATTTTTCCAGATTTTTTCCAGATTTATTTGAATTGTCAATGGTTACAATGGAGTAGCGTCATATTCGCATAAAACGCCATGGCGTACTCTCAAATTTAGAGAAAAGTTATTTTTTTATATTGAACACTTAAAAAATACTGGATTTTCTGAAATATTGCCAATAATTTACATTTAATTAGTCCATATTAATCGAAATTTCGTATTTAAAAACACCCCAGAAGGCTTCAAACGCAATCTCATTGTAACTTTTTCTGGAGGAAGATCCCCCGACCCCCCCCCTCAGGGTTTCGCTAACTCGCGGCGTGCACTCACAAAATACCCACGCTACGCCACTGGGTTAGTAACCAAGATTTTTCTCCTGACTTTCTTAGAAACCTTAATTCTCTCCTATTTTATTTAAAAATCTGAACTTTCTCCCAATTTTTACTTGAAAGACACACAGCATGTCTACTGTCAGGGATGTTAAGCTAAACGAAAAAAAAGTATATCTGGTAAGAGTTCGATGGGAACTCCAGGAAATTCTGATATTTCACGCTTTCTATTTTTCCAAATTTTCTTTCAAAGTTTCCAGACAACACAGGAGCTACCATTGACTAAAAGTAGACAGTGTAATGTTACTTTCCTAAAAAAAGTAAGGAAATATACACATTGTCTTCATACTTAATTTTGTACCAGAAAATAACATGTACAGGTATAGCAATTTTTTACCAAAATGTTACTTTCTGGCTGAACCTTAAAAAACATGAAAATAATTATTCCCGTAGACACCTACATGTAATTTGAAATTCCCCATTCTAAACATGAAACATTGAAGCATATTGAAGTGGTCCAAAAACATGCATGTGCAAAGCATTTCTATATTCACTTCATTAGTCCATTTGTCACCCCTATACATACTATAGTGAACCTATGAATTGTTAAAAACACGATGTTTTATGGTTAATTTATAATAACAAGGGTTTTCTGAAGTGATTTAACTGGGTTGGACAAAAAGTTAGTTTGGGGAAAATGTATATCGGCTAATTAGGGAGGGGTGCATTGGCTTAACATGGCGTTGACTATTGACTTAGCGTCGGGATACCACCATGTACCTGGAACGTTACTATGGTGATAGATACAAAAAATTTCCCCAACGTTAATTTTTTGGCAACCCAGCTAAATCACTCCAATAAACCCTAATGATAGTATTTGCACAGAAAAACATCGTGTTTTTAAATATTCATAATTAAGAAAATGACAAATGGACTATCATGTTTACATTTTGAAAACCAGTTTGAATGAAACATCCCCAGTCTTGGATTTACCATGGGCTTTCAATAGAGTGAATGC